GCCTGTGGGGATAATTGAAAATTAGAAAAGGCTGCTGCTGGGAACGGTTGATTCAGTAGCTGAAGAAGGAATCAGGAAACCAGTTTCTCGTGTGTGAGATTGGGGATCCAAACCAGAGGGGTCTCTTCCTGAGCTACGTCCTCATCTCTTGTTACTTGTACTTTGTGATAGGGTCTACCTAACCTGTCTCAGTTGACCTTGAACTTACAACTCTTCTGCCTCAGTGTCCCAAGTAGCTGAAATCACATATGTGTGCCACTGTTTATTTTTCTGGCAAGAAGAAAAAAACCCAAAAAACATCTTAATCCTTTCTTTTATTCTCTCAAGAACAAGTCTCCTAAATTCTGTCTGAGGGTTTGTATTTTTCTCCCTTTAGAATGTCTCAAGAGGTCGGGATATTTAAGATTCCTCCCCTTCTGCCTTAGAGGGAGTCCTATCCGGTACGGATGACCTCCTCCTTGGACAAAGTGTGCAGGAGTTTTCACTCGGTGCCCAGCTTGCCATCTCTCCATATCTTCTCACCATGCAATAAATAACCCAGAGTATTCATCTTCATGAAGGAAGCTAACCTGTAAGAAACACTGCTTCCTTCATGACTGTCCTCCCTTTAAGCAGCTCTGCTACCTGTTGTTGCTCCCTTGTCCAGCACAGACCTTCTGCTTGGAGCCAAGGACCGCGTGCTCTGGTCAGACCTCACCGATGCAGCCCTTGTCTCGGTCCCAACACACTGTTTCCTACCACTGATATTTGGGTGTATTTTTGTCAAGATATTAGAGAAGATTCTAACACATCTGTGCAATGAAACTACTTCGTTAATGTTCACCCCTGGTTTTATCCAGTTCCAGGACTAAAGTTCCACATTATTTTAAAAATGTGTTTCATATGAATATTAAGTCGTATAGATCACCCATGAAAATGTTGAGATTTTAGTGTGACCTTTGGACCTTTCATTTCCAGTTAAACGGTTCTCTTATTTATTCTCCATCCACTTAACACAAGATTCATTTCTTTCCTAAATCAGTTTCCTTGAACCCTTTTTCCCGCCCTTTTCCAGGATAGCCTCATGCGGTCTTTGACCCCTCCAGTCCCATCTTTCTTGGCCCCTCATAAATCTCATCTCCCCCTAAGAATTCAGTCCTATTTATGAATGAGAATCAGACAGTAACGGTGTGAAAATTATAAGGTCTGTAGGTGGGGAGGGAGGTAACTTCAGGTTCCAGGTCATTAGTTTTCTAGACACAGAACTTAGACGAATCTTTGATTTGTCAAATGAACTAATAGTTCAGCAATTACTCTCTGTCTTTGCCTTCTCTCCTTTGAAATGGTGCCAACAGAGCCAATCTCATGGGGCTACTGTGACGACTGGATAACACAGCTCACGCAGAGTGTGTAAGTGAGCGCCTCTCATTTCCAGCTCTCCAGAGCAGTGTGATTACAGTTAACATATCCAGTTCAGAACTGATATGGAACTGATTATTCACTGTTGCTGAGTATTTATGTCATTCTGCTTGGTGTGCTCCTCCCCATGGTAGTCCTTGCCATAAATGGCAGGATTTTCTTTTTTATTTAAAGCTGAAAAATGTTCCATTATATATATATGTGTGTGTGTGTGTGTGTGTGTGTGTGTGTGTGTGTGTACATTTTCTTTATCCTTTTATATTTACCTGTCAGTGAATATTTAAGTTGTATCTATATCTTGGCTATTGCGAATAAGGCTTCAATAATTATGGGGATCTCTATGAAATAATGGAAAACCTTATGCTGAGTGAAATAAGCTAACACCCCTTGTAATCTTTCCAAATGTGCATTAACATATATCTAGTACATTTTTCCAGTAAACTTGACCTTTTGGTAATGAGTTATTCATCCAAATACAAATATGAAAACTCAGCATTAATACTTTCACTTCCAATATGCCTGTTTTCTTTTTCTTTCTTTCTTTTTCTTTTCACAAGGCTGATTAGCCAGTATAGTAATGTGAGGAGAGGGATTGTCAGCCTTAGCAAGGAGCAAACTGCTAGTAAGTTACAATGAAGGCTGACATTTGGAAGTTAGGGGAAAACTGGGAAAAGGACCAGATTCTCAGTGGGGCTCATGGTGACAGTTTAAAGGTCTGAAAGTCAACAGAAAAATGATCACTCATCTCCAAGGAGTCTACTGATCTGACATTACTTGCAGTCTTCTCGCGCCCTGATTCTCGAATGTCTGTGATTTTTTTCCCTGCAATTTTTCCAAAGACATATCATCTGTGTGCCTCAGTTCTTTTTCTACAAATCCTCAGCTAAATGTTCTGTCTGCTCCTTGCTTGAGCTCCTTGCCATCATGTTTACTCTTAACTCTGAGAAGGAGCTGGTAGCTGAACATTTATCGTAGAAAAAGATGCATTTGGCTAAGGGAAACTTTTTTAGTGTAATATTCGCTGGAGGCAAGAAGATCTTTCAGTGTTCTTTCTGGAGCCTCCAAATAAATAGCCAAGGCTTTAAATGGAAGAGGAAATACAGGCCTCCAAATAAATCTTCAACCATGATGAGGGAGTACCGTGCCAGGCCTAATGTTTAACCAACAGTTAGTACATTTCAGTCAGCAAATACATGAGAAAAATCCATGCCTTTATGTAACATTCCATAAGGTTTTAATGGGGTATTTCATAATTTTAAATCAGTTTGGCTTTTTTATGTTAATGACTGCATTTTATGTTTTGACATCAATTTGTTTCAAAAGTTATTTTTAAAGAAATTGCATATATGAACTGCTCTCAATATATTT